GCATGAGATGAAAAAAATGGAGGAAGAGAAGGAGGGAGAGAGAGTGAGAGAGGGAGAGAGTGAGAGAGAGTGAAAGAGAGTGAGAGAGAGAGAGAGAGAGAGAGAGAGAGAGAGAGAGAGAGAGAGAGAGAGAGAGAGAGAGAAAGTAGGGGGTAGGGGACAAGACACAACCTCCATACTGAAAAATTGAGAGCAAGACATGAAAAGAATTATGAAAATATGTAAGGAAAAGCAGAAAGATAATACATGCAATAAAATCAGATAACCTGAAATACTGCACAATTTTTGAGTAATCATGACTTAACCCAATGGCGCCGGGTGTACAAAAGAAAAAAAAAAACTCTACACTTAAACAAACAAAGGCGGCGCGCCGACTTTGAGCGAGTGAGTAGGGGACATCAGCCCAAATCACTGGCTCGCCGCGCTTTGGCGCGCCGCCGACTCGTTTGGCTGCACGCCAGCTTTCGAGCTCTTTGTTTCCACGCCGATCGGCGTCACCCGGCACCAAGGGGTTAAAAAGTCTAACACACAGAAAACACCAATACAAACTAAAACTCCTTTCCCATCAGTAGAAGGCTTTAAAACCTTATATTCTTTCTAAACTCACAACACAATATATGTAACTGAATGGTTTCAATTATATCTTCATCAGGAATACAAAGATAATCAAAACCAGTCAAATAAATCTCTTGTACTGTGAAGACATTCATTCTCATTCATACCTTTTCCACATTTGTCAACATGACTATGGTTCATATAGTGTCTTGTTAAACATACTGGCACTGAGGATATTCACTGTCCACTGTAGTTCTGTATTGTGAATCTTCTATACACATAGATGGCTTCACAAGATCTTAAGTCACCAGAGAATGAATCAGTAGTATTCTTTTTCACCCTCCCCTTCTGTCCCTCTCCCCCTCACCCTCCCCTTCTGTCCCTCTCCCCCTCACCCTCCCCTTCTGTCCCTCTCCCCCTCACCCTCCCCTTCTGTCCCTCTCCCCCTCACCCTCCCCTTCTGTCCCTCTCCCCCTCACCCTCCCCTTCTGTCCCTCTCCCCCTCACCCTCCCCTTCTGTCCCTCTCCCCCTCACCCTCCCCTTCTGTCCCTCTCCCCCTCACCCTCCCCTTCTGTCCCTCTCCCCCTCACCCTCCCCTTCTGTCCCTCTCCCCCTCACCCTCCCCTTCTGTCCCTCTCCCCCTCACCCTCCCCTTCTGTCCCTCTCCCCCTCACCCTCCCCTTCTGTCCCTCTCCCCCTCACCCTCCCCTTCTGTCCCTCTCCCCCTCACCCTCCCCTTCTGTCCCTCTCCCCCTCACCCTCCCCTTCTGTCCCTCTCCCCCTCACCCTCCCCTTCTGTCCCTCTCCCCCTCACCCTCCCCTTCTGTCCCTCTCCCCCTCACCCTCCCCTTCTGTCCCTCTCCCCCTCACCCTCCCCTTCTGTCCCTCTCCCCCTCACCCTCCCCTTCTGTCCCTCTCCCCCTCACCCTCCCCTTCTGTCCCTCTCCCCCTCACCCTCCCCTTCTGTCCCTCTCCCCCTCACCCTCCCCTTCTGTCCCTCTCCCCCTCACCCTCCCCTTCTGTCCCTCTCCCCCTCACCCTCCCCTTCTGTCCCTCTCCCCCTCACCCTCCCCTTCTGTCCCTCTCCCCCTCACCCTCCCCTTCTGTCCCTCTCCCCCTCACCCTCCCCTTCTGTCCCTCTCCCCCTCACCCTCCCCTTCTGTCCCTCTCCCCCTCACCCTCCCCTTCTGTCCCTCTCCCCCTCACCCTCCCCTTCTGTCCCTCTCCCCCTCACCCTCCCCTTCTGTCCCTCTCCCCCTCACCCTCCCCTTCTGTCCCTCTCCCCCTCACCCTCCCCTTCTGTCCCTCTCCCCCTCACCCTCCCCTTCTGTCCCTCTCCCCCTCACCCTCCCCTTCTGTCCCTCTCCCCCTCACCCTCCCCTTCTGTCCCTCTCCCCCTCACCCTCCCCTTCTGTCCCTCTCCCCCTCACCCTCCCCTTCTGTCCCTCTCCCCCTCACCCTCCCCTTCTGTCCCTCTCCCCCTCACCCTCCCCTTCTGTCCCTCTCCCCCTCACCCTCCCCTTCTGTCCCTCTCCCCCTCACCCTCCCCTTCTGTCCCTCTCCCCCTCACCCTCCCCTTCTGTCCCTCTCCCCCTCACCCTCCCCTTCTGTCCCTCTCCCCCTCACCCTCCCCTTCTGTCCCTCTCCCCCTCACCCTCCCCTTCTGTCCCTCTCCCCCTCACCCTCCCCTTCTGTCCCTCTCCCCCTCACCCTCCCCTTCTGTCCCTCTCCCCCTCACCCTCCCCTTCTGTCCCTCTCCCCCTCACCCTCCCCTTCTGTCCCTCTCCCCCTCACCCTCCCCTTCTGTCCCTCTCCCCCTCACCCTCCCCTTCTGTCCCTCTCCCCCTCACCCTCCCCTTCTGTCCCTCTCCCCCTCACCCTCCCCTTCTGTCCCTCTCCCCCTCACCCTCCCCTTCTGTCCCTCTCCCCCTCACCCTCCCCTTCTGTCCCTCTCCCCCTCACCCTCCCCTTCTGTCCCTCTCCCCCTCACCCTCCCCTTCTGTCCCTCTCTCCCTCACCCTCCCCTTCTGTCCCTCTCCCCCTCACCCTCCCCTTCTCTCCCTCTCCCCCTTTTTCTCTTTCCCTCTCCCTCTCCTCTTCCCTCCCCCTTTCCCCCCGTGTCCCTCTCTCCCAATCCTCCTCCCTCCCTTCCTCTCAAAGACAGCTATGGAGCTTTGCATGACACCCCAACCAACATCCCCCACCCCAATCCAACCCCCTGAGCCCATCCCTATACCATACACGAAAACCTCACACCCTTTACCACCACACCCCCCCATGCCCTAAACCCACACCCTGCCGATACCTTCGTCCATGGTCGTGGTGCCCTGTTGCCTGACGAGATCCCCTGGCAGCACCTTCAAGCCGAACTCCTCGATTCTCCTGGAGGCCACGCGGTTCCACATGTAGCTCTGGTAGGCGTGCAGGTACAGGTTGCGGATGTTCCTGGGGATCTGTGGGGATGTGGGGAAGAGGTAAGGAAGGGAGAGAAGAGGAAGGAAGGGAGGAGGATGGAAGGGAGAGAAGAGGAAGGAAGAGAGGAGGATGGAAGGGAGAGAAGAGGAAGAGAAAAGAAACATTAAGTGATATTGTACAGGTTTACACTGCTATAGTTTTTACCGCTTTATAGATGATAGTTCTGGGTTTGAATTTCTAAAATTTATTATAGAGAGGGGTAATGTGAATTGGGATAATCACTGTAATATCGTTTGTCTTCATTTTCTGTTATTGTAGTTATAAACAAAAATAAAAACTAAAAATCCTCTAAAAATAACAATATTGAAAAAAAAAAAAGGTAAGCCCCCACTAACAATGACAAAGATGAAAAATAAACAGATAAACCTCACTCGAAACCCACCCTCATAATGGCACCCACGAGGTCATTCTTCTGAAGACTGGCGAGTCCATGGAGGAGCTGGCCCTCGATGGACGACTCAGACGCTCTTTTCATTGCCCCTAAAGCTGCCTCGGGGTCCTTGGTTTGAGACCATACCCTGCAGCCACGACTCAAATCAGGGTCGTCGTTGTCTCGGGGTGACAGTATCAGGTCCACAGCCTGCAGAGAGAACGGGGTAACTCTTCTCACAAATGACATCAAAATAAGAGGCAATATCTGATAATAAAGTCTGATATTTATCCAAACCCAAAAGTCTACTACTTCCTTTCCCTCCTATCCCTTCCTCCCCTACCCTTTCCTCCTTCCTTCTCCTCTTTTCTCCTCCCTTCCCCCCCTTTTTCCCCTGCCCTCCTACCTACCTCCTGCCACTGACTCCTGAGCAACTCCCTGCCAATGCGGTGAGTGGGCACAGTACTCGTCCCAAAACGCTGAGTGCCGTAGTAATTGATGAAGCCTTGTGACCGTAGGGAAGAAACGGCTTCCTCTATTGCCTCGTCTGAAGCCTTCACCTCTCTGGAAATAATTAAACCAAGTGAGGGAGATAATAAGAGAATAAGGGGTAATGTAGGAATGAGGTAGAGGAAAAATGATAAAGGAGTTATGGGAAAATAAAGAGGGAGATGAAAAGGGAGTAAACAGAACCTACACAGCTGCTGCTACCTTGGAACAAAATAATCAACCAGTGTATAAGTAAGCCTAAGGTGTCTAATTTCCAAGATGATTGAAACTGATGAACTGGGCAGCAGTAAAAGCACCAAAGTAAATCTCAAACAACTAAAATACCAACCCACTTAACCACAATTAAACTCTGGCCAATCTATCAAATTGAAGCAACCAAAAACCAGATCCAAGTGAGCCCATCAACCCGACCATGATTATTCTCAGGCCAATCTATCCATCAAGAGCAACGAGAGGGTAACCCACCTGAGCACAATTCGAAAGTGGTTTCCCTGTAGTGAGCCAAGTTTCATGGGCTTGTGGTGGAAGGTGAAGTTACCAATGTAAATGCCTCTCTGCTGCCTCGCCGCATATGCTAGCTTTTCGGGGGCGACCTGGGAACAACATTTAACTTGTTACCGATGAAAAAAATGTCTCACTGTCTCTCTCTCTACATGTATGCATTATGTGTATTCATGAATGAGTGTGGGTATACTTGAGTAGGCCTATATGTATTTAGGGTCACATGTGAATAAGCGAGTGGGTTTGGGTGTCTATGGGTATGTTTATGATTATATACAGACCCGAGTCACAGAGACCAACTGGCTTGTCTTGCCCCGCTTGTCCTTCGTCCCGGCATATGCAAACATATTGGGCTTCAATCTGCAACACAAAAAACAATATCAGTTGGAGTTAATAACGAAGAAAAGAAATACGAGACAAAATACATCTACACTTCATTCCCAATTTTCGTAGCTCATTGGTTAAAAATCTCAAAGTAATTTTGAAAATTTACTGAATTTTTCATTATTGCAAAATATATTGGCCTTCTAATTACAGATACTAGAGTCTTTATAATTCCTTATAAAAAGAAGGATGTAAATTACAAGA